ATTACCAATCTTTTACCACTTGTTTACAATTATATACATGCATGTAGTTTCCTGAAATATGTATCCTACTAATGATATAATTATATTGTATACATGTAAAAAGTTGATTTTTGTTGAGAGGAAAAAGGTGTGTTAACAGTATTTCCTTGCGATTCGGAAAAATAACCATTTATTACATGTTTTATCCAATGAGAGACTATTCTTCTAAATGATTTATATAGAGGAATAAGTTGAGCCATCATGCTACAACATTCAAAACTCCACTAAATGTGCAAATAAAACAATTGAACGCAGACTTTAAATTCATCAAACTAATTTTGTCGGCAATGTCCTATTTTGTTGACACAGCCTACCTGATTTTTAAGTCACAATTCCACTTTGTCAAAATTATCTCCCCATTATACAACATAGCATTTTCAATCTCGAAAATGGAAGCCATTGTTAGTAAAATGACGTGTTGTCAATTTTAAAGCATTTTCGGTACTGTGAATTTTTAATGTTATATTATCAGCATATATCCTTTTTGTTTTATAAAAATAGCAAAATCTGAATCGAAATGGTTTATCAATATTTTTGGTTTATACGTTTACTTGACAAAACTACTTACTCGAACACGCCTGAACGTGAAATGTTCTTCCTGAAATTCTCTTTGCAATAAGATTATCGCGCATTTTTATGATTTTTTTTTTCAAAATAAAACTATTTCCGGGGGCACAGTTTTGAATTATTGCTTTTGACCAAGTTTACCAATTACTTTATGTACATGTTTCAATACAGTGGATGCACTTGATATCCTTTTTTATATTACAAAGCTTTTCGAATTCGTTTTCCAAATTTTCAGAAAGAATTTTGAAATGTTTTCAATTACCAACAACAGTTTAACAAATGAAGATTCGTATATATATTTAAAGAATACTTCGTTGTATATTCATTAATCTTTTTTAACTTTGTTTATTGTCAAAGACTTGTCCGTGGGAATCCTAATTATTGTTTTGGTTTGGAGAATGCGCGTTGTCTATTGTATATATCTGAAGTCTGGGGTAACAAACTGAAAGAGTAATTGCACACACTATCACTGGCTATCGGTATGACGGATGCAATAGTATCTGGTTACCTGTTGCTTTTCAAATCAATCGTTTTAAGCTATGGTGTATAACAGATACAGCAGGATTTGTGTTCCGATTGGTTTCGGCTATGGCGTATAACAGATACAGCAGGATTTGTATTCCCCGATTGGTTTCGTTTATGGCGTATAACATATACAGCAGGATTTGTGTTCACGATTTGTTTCGGCTATGGCGTATAACAGATACAGCAGGATTTGTATCCTCCGATAGGTTTCGTTTATGGCCTATAACAGATACAGCAGGATTTGTGTTCACGGTTGGTTTCGGCTATGGCGTATAACAGATACAGCAGGATTTGTATTCTCCGATTGGTTTTGGCTATGGCGTATAACAGATACAGCATGATTTGTGTTCCCGATTGGTTTCGGCTATGGCGTTTAACAGATACAGAAGTATTTGTGTGTCAGATTGGTTTCGGCTATGGCGTATAACAGATACAGCATGATTTGTGTTCCAGATTGGTTTCGGCTATGCCGTATAACAGATACAGCATGATTTGTGTTCCAGATTGGTTTCGGCTATGGCGTGTAACAGATACAACAGGATTTGTTTTCCCGATTGGTTTAGCTATGGCGTATAACAGATGTTTGTCTGATTGCCATTGTAGTCCAATGGACTTGTAATCGTTTGCACCTGTCCTAAGTCAGGAATCTGATGTTCAGTAGTTGTCGTTTGTTGATGTGGTTCATAAGTGTTTCTCGTTTCTCGTTTTTTATATAGATTAGACCGTTGGTTTTCCCGTTTGAATGGTTTTACACTTGTCTAGTAATTTTTTGGGGCCCTTTATAGCTTACTGTTCGGTGTGAGCCAAGGCTCCGTGTTGAAGACCGTACTGTGACCTATAATGGTTTACTTTTATAAATTTTGACTTGGATGGAGAGTTGTCTCATTGGCACTCATACCACATCTTCTTATATCTACAACATAGTTTGGACTATGTTACCTGGATTGCCATTGTAGTCCAATGGACTTGTTATCGTGTACAATATAGTTTGGACTATGTTACCTGTTGCTATCTTCCGTACCGATTTACAAAACAATTTACGTTTCCCATGAATGTAATGTGGAGTTTATTTTGTATACATTTGTGGATAACTTAATTTATTCCACTTTTTTAATTTCATGTAGTCCCTTGAAAATGAGATTGATTTTCATTGACCTATTGTGTTATCTAAGTCTATGTTTCTGATCGCATTTTTTTTCTCTTTGCTTTATTTTATATCTTGATATATAAATGAAGAGATTCACAATAGAAGTTTTAACATCATTTGACAATTTTAAAAACAGCTGTTTTACTTCATTAATTTAGATACATTTCAACATATAATGTCTATTTAGTGAAAATCGAGGGCAAAATATTTAGAGTCCAAAACTAATACATGTATAAAGAGCTGATAAAACCAAAAAGGACAAACAGTAATGCAGCCAGAACTGAAGTATAAACTTTGAAAAGTAACAAATCGTTGTTGCTCACATTTAGCATATCGGTTTTTTAGATTGGTTCTGATCTAATGATTTTAGCTCAAATTACGCATAACGGATTTTTAGATTGATTCTGATGACAAGATTTTGACTCATATTTAGCACATCGGATATTGAAATTGATTCTTATTGTTATAATTTTAGCTCTGATTTAGCACATCTGATATTTAGATTGATTCTGATGTTGAGATGTTATCTCAGATTTAGCACATCGGAATTTTAGATTGGTTTTGATGTTGTGATTTGAGCTCAGATTTAGCACATCTGCTATTTAGAATGGTTCTAATGTTTAGATTTGAGCTCTGATATAGCACAACTGATATTTAGATTGGTTCTGATGTTTAGATTTTAGCTCAGATTTAGCACATCTGCTATTTAGAATGGTTCTGATGTTAAGATTTTAGCTCAGATTTAGTAGATCGGATTTTTGGATTGGTTCTAATGTTTAGATTTAAGCTCTGGATATTAAATTGGTTCTGATGTTGAGATTTTTGCTCTGATTTAGCACATCTGTTTTTTAGATTGGTTTTGATGTTAAGATTTTAGCTCAGATTTAGCACATCGGTTTTTTTAGATTGGTTCTGATGGTAAGATTTTAACTCAGATTAAGTACATCGGATTTTTAGATTGGTTCTGATGATAAGATTATAGCTCAGATTTAGCACATTTGATGTTTAGACTGGGTCTGATGTTTTGAGATCTGTTTCGATTTATTATATTTATTTTGATGTTTAGATTTTATTATGTTTCAGTTTTGCCATTAGTGAAGAGGTTTAAAATGTTTAAGGTGATGTCCGAGTACATATCAGCAGGTGTTGTCAACTTAACCGTCCATGTACATAAATTCAAAACATCTCAGAAATCTGTGTGTATGTCAGAGGGTCTGGATGGGGTTTACAGAATAGAGAATAATGGGCCAAAAAAATTAAATAATAGCGAAAAATGGGCAAATAGAATAAAGAATAGAGAATAATTGGATGCTAAAATATAAAGATTAACTGCAAAAATTAAAGAACTGGGTAAAAATATACTGATTACAGAAAAGAACAATGTCCAGAATACAGTTATCAAGTAATTACAGAATAGCCATATTTTTTAAAGATAAAGAATAATGAGTAAAAAAATTAAAGAATACAGAAACGAAGGCCCCTCAATCCATACCCTCATGTCACGGATACATCATGGTTTCAGTCATTCGTTCTATCTTGTTTTTAAACGATTAACGTTACCGATGAGCTCCATATTACAATCATGTAGGATTAATTCGAATGTACGACACAGAATAAATATTTCCTTCTTTTTTTCGATTTGATAAATAAATCATGTAAAGCGTAATCTAAAGTATGGCTCCATCTTAGTCCTAAGACATTCCAGAGCTATTACATTTGTTATTTTATTATTTTCTTGATAGAAAGTTGCTACTTACAAGGAAGCTATTGAACCAGGCTTCCTAATGGTTATGTTTAAGTCATCCATCTGAAAGTTTAAAAACATGAAAACAACATTTTATAAATTTCATTCGTCAGAAGTGCTTTTCTGGATTTACCTTCATGAGAAACATTCAAAGCCGAATATTTTTAAGAACCGAAACAGTTGAAGAGCTATATGACAAAAAAAAGAACCAATTACCTGGTGTCATCATGATTTTCTTGACCGTTTTCGAAAATCTGTGTCAAGGTGATTACGGATATGTCCAAATGTCGTAGCCACAATCCCGTCCTCATTTCAAAGATTGTGACATATCAGAATGCGACCTCGGGCTATCATCAAATGTTTATTTGCAATTAGCAACACAACGGCTGCTACTAGTGGAACAATATCTGCTTATCTTTCCGGAGCATTTGATGTCAAATTTGGAAAGGGGGCAAACACAGGAAAGATTTCAAATTGAATAAACCTTACTAAAGTAGTTAGTAAAAAACGCTCCCAACAGGTATGTCATATACTTAGAAAAATACTCCTTATTCGGCGTTAGTAAAAGCAAATGGCGGATATAGATCGGATGAGACAGCTATCCGATTTCACATAAAGAAAACCAATAGAGAAATCTAGAAGACAATAGACCACAGCTAATACAATGTGTCAATCAAATAAGAGGTGCACCATAATTGGAAAGCACAAGATAGACAACAAGCTTTTTAAAAAGAACTTGTAGTTTAATTTACTTCACTGTTTGAATAACAAAATACAATTAAGCAAACGTCTACTTATTTTCATATTGAAGTTTCTCAGGAAAATACGTCTTACGACAAGAGTAAGCCTAGTACTAGTATTTGTCATTTACAAATACATGTACATTAGTAATATATTTCAATGGAGATTAAAACCATAGTATTTATACAAAAACTAAACCCCAAAAAAGCTCAATTATATACTAAAAACTAACAAAAATATATTTTAAAACATTTATTTAAAACTAAATGTGTACTTTCTCTATGGAAAAATATGTTTTTTAAAGATATGCTCAAATAATAATACATATACTTTATATTGAATATGATTGCGACATTTAAAAATGTTTTAAGATAGATACCATATATACATTTATTACAGTTTATGGTAAAACAAGTTAGATTAAGATACAAATGTGAGGCTTAAGACTTCACTGAATATATCGTAATGGTATATAAAGATATGATAAAGTCCGAGATCTTCCGAAGAACAACCTTTATAATTTGATGCCAACGCATTTTTCTTTAATATGTATATGATCTAGAATAATCATGTGACGAAATGTCATCTTTATTCTTCATTACATTTTTACAACAGAGAGCTATGGAGATAAATACTTTTGAGCACTGCCTTCTAAATCTTGAATTCAAAAAGCTGTAAATAATCGGATTTATCGCATTGTTGATAAAATAGAATCTGGAAAATAATTTCACAATCATTTCCTCGATTGGGGATAAATCCTCATAAAAATTAGTCACCACACTCCTTGTGATCATTATGATTAGCCCTGGTAAGTATGTAACAACAAACGCTACCGTGACGGTGAAAAATATAATAGTTGTCCTACTGAGTTTGATTGTTTTCGGTTGCGATATTATTTTCGGCGGAGAACTCGGAGGAGAATTGTCAATATCAGAAGAAATAGCATCTTTTAACTTTTTGGGTGATTTTGGTGACTTTGGCGTCTTGTCCTTACTTTCACTACTGATACTTCTTGCGAAAATAGTATTTTTACTGCGTGCAAGTTTAACAGCATTTTTTATTCTCGTTGATCCATAAACCGTTCCTACCCCGCAGTCACGACGCTGCCGTATTTCAATCCAAATTTTAATGTAAAATCCTGCCAACAATGAAAAAGTTATAACGAATACCACGGTAAGCATATTATAATAAACTTTCGGAAATGCAGTTCCTCGGTACTTTTCGTCTATTGAACAGTCATAACCAAACGTACCGTTTATTGGGGTTGATTGTTTTGTTATCCCAAACAAAAACAATGCAGGCGACGCAAGAATAAATGCAGCTACACAAGCAACCCAACACATCGTTTTAATCTTTGAAGTCATCAAAACCCGTAATGGTCTGCAAATTTTGAAGTATCTGTCAAAAGCAATTTCGATAAGAATTATCGCTGATCCATAAATGATGGCGGCCTCTGTATACTTTACTATTTTGCATCCAATTTTATCATCGAAAGTATAGGAATTAATAAGGTCGTAAACACCGGCAGGCATTGAAATAAGACATCCAAGTAAATCAAAGATGGCCATAGCACTGATGAAAAAGTTAGCCGATCTTCGCTTAAATCCCCAGTTATACACATATATCACCATTATGTTTCCAAACGTACCGATGATCATGATAAAAGCGACGAAAATGATAACTGGTATATAAAGAAATGCCTTCTCGCTATTAAGACATTGTAAACATTTCTGTGTATGTTCCGAAAAGGATCCATTATCCCAAGTAACGTTAAAGGTACAGCAGTTTAATACCTTGATTGTATGCATGTTGACGTCTGAAAAATAAAGGATTTTGAATGTCAAACTCTTTATATTTGACGCAAATCGTGACAACGTAATATAAAATCAATTACCTAAATTGGTGTCATTTATAAAGAATGATATAAAATATTGTAATAATTCACTAATGGACGTATGATTTTCAGATGAAATGAATATCAAACGGGTTGAGAGCTTGTTTAAATCATTGGTAAAATTAAATAGATTGGTTATGATATAAGAAAATGACACTTGATTAATTGGTACATCCGAATACCTTCTCTTGCTTTACCTTCAGCAGGTTCTCTTTAACCCACCAATATGAAAGTCACGGATGGAAACTGACAACAAATAATTATAATAGTTGATTTGCATTTCAATAAAAAGTAAAAAGTATGCAGTGTTTCTTGTTGGTATGCTGTTATGAAAGCCGCGTATAGAGAACATCAGCTGTGTTAAAGATTATTTGCGATATGACCGTAGATCTCGCGTATTCCTAGGTATTCTGATTATGTGCAGAAATTTTGAAAAAATTATTTTGAAAAATTGAGAATCGTAAGACGTATTGTGTTCGATTATTGAAGAACAAGTTAGAAAAGGTGATAAGAAAGTTTCATACCATTTTTTTTAATGATTGTTATGTAGTATTTAAAATTTGTAATATTTTGTGCACAGTGTGGGTTGGTAACTTCATTAAACAGTTGCTAAATAATTACATCATTTTGGGGCGGAAAGCTGTCTCATTGGTGATTATACTACACCTTCTTATTTTATATTGTTTTGCGTATCTTATATTGAACAGTAGTTACAAAAGAGATTACAAGCGAAACTGTAAATAATTATCAAACCAGTTGGTACTTTTAAGTAAGATATAAGAGTTAGAGTAAAACTTGTCAAACATACCTTACAGAGTACCACACACTACTCCAGGATCTTTATTATTGTAGTATTTTTTCAAACATTAATACTATAATATTAATGATTACAGTCATCTTAAGCTACTTAATGTAAACAAGTATTTCCTTTCCGGTTTAAGGATACATGGGATACATGTAGATCTGACCACAAAAGTATATACATAATTAATATACATATACTTATACTTATACGCTAAGAAGTCATTGGTGTCAAATTGGTTAAATGCGGTCTCTGATTTTGACCTAGAATTTGGGAATGTTAAGTAGTTCCCACTGTGGGTAGTATGTGTATGTTCATGCCTCACTGTATCAAGATTAGCTTTATGTACCTATTGCCATTATTTCATACATGGGAATAAATGTTATATTTTGTATTAAAAGGAAAACTCTGTCACGAGACTGAGTGTATGTGAACTGAAATGCTTAAGACATTAATACAAAAACAATTGACAGAATTTGCTTTAAAAACAAAAGCTTGCAGTCTATATATATACTTTATTTACTTAAATCACAGAGCTCTCTACTTTAATCTAAAAGTTTTTATCTTAGTATTTATCGACCTATCACAACATCAGAATCTCAAAACATATTCATTCCAAAGAATAAAACAATTTTCCTATGACATACAATGGAGATCACTGTGAGCAATAGTCAAACACTGTGATGCATTATTGAAACGCGACTCTTTTCACTGTAACAACCTAAAATTTCATTAGTTAACATTAGCCTACAAAATCACTGTTCACTAATATAATGCATACAAAAATTATAATTATACATTTTTTTCTGAGATAAAAGTAGCTGCGATTTTTCGCCTTTGTATTGTTTAAATAATCGAATATTGAATGCCTTAGGTTTGAAAATACGATTGCGATTTCATATGGCTATACGCATATTTTTCCCCCAAAATAGAATTGAGAATGGAATCGGGGAATGTGTCAAAGAGACAACAACCCGACCAAAGAGCAGAAAACAGTCCAAGGCAACCAATAAGTCTTCAACGCAGTGAGAAAATCCCGCACCTGGAGGCAGGCTTCGGCTGGCCCTTAAACAATAATGTATACTAGTTTAGCGAAATGGACGCCACACTAAACTCCGAAACATATAAATGAATCAAAATTAAAAAAACACAAGGCTAACAAAGACTAAAAAGAAGTCTGGGTCCGATGTATGAATAGGTAACAGAAGAAACTAAGCAAAATGACCATGATCAACATAAATTAACAAAGGACTACTAGCAGTTACTGACATGCCATCTCAAGACCTCAATTAAACTGATCGAAAGATTATGTCGTCATCATATGAAAATCAAGCATAATCCCTCCCGTTAGGGTTTTAGTATCATACCATCATAAATTATACGAGAAAAACATAACCCGTATCATGCCAACAACTGGTTTTAGAATAAATGTGTTTATTTCCGATGCTAAGACCCAATGAGTGAATTAACATTAATTTTAAAAACCGCCATCTTTAATGACTTGACAACAGTATCGTAACTATATCCCGTCTGAATAAGTTTGTTTAAGGTTTGGTTAGCTTTTTAAGTTAATAACGACATTTTTGCGATTTGTATAAGAATGTTACCAGAATGTTTTAGGTGTGTAAGTACTGATGATAACGTTTGCTGTGTTATGATATCGTTAGATTTCAGCTGCGAATCAGAGCAGACAAAATGTATATTTGATAAGCTTAGGAGGACAACCAAGCAATAGAGAAGACTGAAATACAAAATTAGATAAAGTAATTGGAAATCTATAAGTTTTACATATAACGCAATTGATATTTTGTAAATAAGATACCTTTCTCAAATTTACCTGTTGTGACATTTTAACTCCTTTTAGTTTTCTACCTTTACATGATAATTTTCAGTAGAATTATCTTACTCAAATCCAGTTCGATTTTTTGTACAATTTTAGCAGTTAATGCAAAGAATAGATTTTGAGTCTTTGTTAGGACTTTCGATCATATCAGTTTTGGGTTTTAGTTCTTGACTTAGTCATTTTTATCCCGGCTCTTTACATGCATATTCAAATACTTTAGCATCGAGGTCGGATTTGTGTTTTGCAATCTGGTGAAAATCATTTTTTTTTCACCCTGCCCCATAAGATGTGTTTGTCGCGGCGGGTAAGATCTAAAACATCCCACTATTGCAAAACTTACCTACTACGTGACTTCTTATTAAACAAGCACTACCTGATTGAGAGACCCTTCCCTAACAATCACCTGGAAGGATGACACAACAATATAAAGATGAACATGCACTACCTGACGGAGAGACCCCACACTGCCAATCACCTGGAAGGATGACACAACAATATAAAGATGAACAGGCACTACCTCACTGAAAGACCCCACACTGCCAACCACCTGGAAAGATGACACAGCAATATAAAGATGAACAGGCACTACCTGACTGAGAGACCCCACACTGCCAATCACCTGAAAAGATGACACAACAATATAAAGATGAACAGGCATTACCTGACTGAGAGACCTCACACTGCCAATCACCTGGAAGCATGACACAACAATATAAAGATGAACAAGCACTACCTGACTGATGGACCCCACACTGCCAATCACCTGGAAGGATGACACAACAATATAAAGATGAACAGGCACTACCTGAATGAGAGACCCCACACTGCCAATCACCTGGAAGGATGACAAAACAATATAAAGATGAACAGGCACTACCTGACTGAGAGACCCCACACTGTCAATCACCTGGAAGGATGACACAAAAATATAAAGATGAACAAGCACTACCTGACTGAGAGACCTCACACTGCCAATCACCTGGAAGGATGACACAACAATATAAAGATGAACAAGCACTATCTGACTGAGAGACTCCACACTGCCAATCACCTGGAAGGATGACACAACAATATAAAGATGAACAAGCACTACCTTACTGAGGGACCCCACACTGCCAATCACCTGGAAGGATGACACAACAATATAAAGATGAACAAGCACTACCTGACTGAGAGACCCCACACTGCCATCCACCTGGAAGGATGACACAACAATATAAAGATGAACAAGCACTACCTGACTGAGAGACCCCACACTGCCAATTACATGGAAGGATGACACAACAATATAAAGATGAACAAGCACTACCTGACTGAGAGACCCCACACTGCCAATCACCTGGAAGGATGACACAACAATATAAAGATGAACAAGCACTACCTGACTGTGAGACCCCACCCAGCCAATCACCTGGAAGGATGACACAACAATATAAAGATGAACAAGCACAAGTTGACTGAGAGACCCCACACCGCCAATCACCTGAAAGGATGACACAACAATAAAAAGATGAACAGGCATTACCTGACTGAGAGACCCCACACTGCCAATCACCTGGAAGCATGACACAACAATATAAAGATGAACAAGCACTACCTGACTGATGGACCCCACACTGCCAATCACCTAGAAGGATGACACAACAATATAAAGATGAACAGGCACTACCTCAATGAGAAACCCCACACTGCCAATCACATGGAAGGATGACACAACAATATAAAGATGAACAAGCACTACCTGACTGAGAGACCTCACACTGCCAATCACCTGGAAGGATGACACAACAATATAAAGATGAACAAGCACTATCTGACTGAGAGACTCCACACTGCCAATCACCTGGAAGGATGACACAACAATATAAAGATGAACAAGCACTACCTTACTGAGGGACCCCACACTGCCAATCACCTGGAAGGATGACACAACAATATAAAGATGAATAAGCACTACCTGACTGAGAGACTCTACACTGCCATCCACCTGGAAGGATGACACAACAATAAAAAGATGAACAAGCACTACCTGACTGAGAGACCCCACACTGCCAATCACCTGGAAGGATGACACAACAATATAAAGATGAACAAGCACTACCTGACTGAGAGACCCCACACTGCCAATCGCCTGGAAGGATGACACAACAATATATCAATGAACAAGCACTACCTGACTCTAAGACCCCACCCAGCCAATCACCTGGAAGGATGACACAACAATATAAAGATGAACAAGCACTAGTTGACTGAGAGACCCCACACTGCCAATCACCTGGAAGGATGACACAACAATAAAAAGATGAACAAGCACTACCTGACTGAGAGACCCACACTGCCAATCACCTGGAAGGATGACACGACAATATAAAGATGAACAAGCACTACCTGACTGAGAGACCTTACACTGTCAATCACCTGGAAGGATGGCACAACAATATAAAGATGAACAGGCACTACCTGACTGAGAGACCCCACACTGCCAATCACCTGGAAGGATGACACAACAATATAAAGATGAACAAGCACTACCTGAATGAGAGACCCCACACTGCCAATCACCTGGAAGGATGACACAACAATATAAAGATGAACAAGCACTACCTGACTGAGAGACCCCACACTGGCAATCACCTGGAAGGATGACACAACAATATAAAGATAAACAAGCACTACCTGACTGAGAGACCTCACACTGCCAATCACCTGGAAGGATGACACAACAATATAAAGATGAACAAGCACTAGTTGACTCAGAGACCCCACACTGCCAATCACCTGGAAGGATGACACAACAATAAAAAGATGAACAAGCACTACCTGACTGAGAGACCCACACTGCCAATCACCTGGAAGGATGACACGACAATATAAAGATGAACAAGCACTACCTGACTGAGAGACCCCACACTGTCAATCACCTGGAAGGATGACACAACAATATAAAGATGAACAGGCACTACCTGACTGAGAGACCCCACACTGCCAATCACCTGGAAGGATGACACAACAATATAAAGATGAACAAGCACTACCTGACTGAGAGACCCCACACTGCCAATCACCTGGAAGGATGACACAACAATATAAAGATGAACAAGCATTACCTGACTGAGAGACCCCAACCTGCCAATCACCTGGAAGGATGACACAACAATATAAAGATGAACAAGCACTAGCTGTCTGAGATACCCCACACTGCCAATCACCTGGAAGGATGACACAACAATAAAAAGATGAACAAGCACTACCTGACTGAGAGACCCACACTGCCAATCACCTGGAAGGA